TAATATGTATGGGATGTTCAGCATAACTTAAAGACTGGTGCAGTGAGAAAGCACCTCTGTTGCTCTCTCTGCAGGCTACAGAGATCAGGACTCAAAAGACACAGCTATTTATTCCATATTTTATTGTCAAGATGATGACTGTTCATGCTATTGAAGTTCTGAGAGAGAATATATTTGGGAAAAAAAAACCCAAATGTAGCAGATGTCCACTTACTGCTACACAATGTGCAAGGGAAGCTTTTCATACTGGGAATATGGCTTACAAAAATATTTCTCTGTGTCTGTGCGTCTGGACTTGACAATTTTGTGGGTTTTTCTATACATGGGGTGAAACTGAGAGGAAAGAGGAACTTGTGACCAAGGAGCCCTCTTGTCCTGCTGTGTACAGGAAGAGCAGCATGCTGTACAGGCAGAGTCCTCCTGGGTTTGAACAACATCCTAAAGGTTTTCCCAACCAAAATCACTGATGATGGCAGAGTCTTTTCCTGCCACGTGCTGTACCACCCAGAGACAGTCCAGAAGAGCAGCACCACTGTGAAAGTATTTGGTAAGGGGCTTATGCCAACTGCCTGCTGCCTTGCACTTGGACAGGTGACACTCCTGTCTGGTTCTGAAGCCAACTTTTGACAGACACTGGGGTTTTTTGAATATAAACATATTTACCTTGTTACTTTTTCAGCTGCAATGACCTAAAATGTTAGTAAATAACCCTGGAGTTCTTAGAAGAATTTGAGTCCATTCTTTCAGTTTCTGGCAGGAAAAAATAGTGAATTCATTGCACATACATCAGTCTCACTGTCATGCACATGGCAAGAATCTTACCCTGATGTGTAGCTTATGTTGGGATTTTGTGGGTCACAGGGAAGCACACTGGTCACCAAGATTTCTGTGTCCCAATGGCCATGCTGTCTGTGGTTAGGAAATCATGGCCAAAATTCAGTAAACTGTTTGGGACTGCAGTTGTAGCAAAATCACATCCTCAAAGGCATGTGAAATTCAACTGCTGCCAAAGGCTCTGGCTCTGGAAATGAGGGTCCTGTTGGGGGTCTCAAATTGGTCAGGAGTGGCAGAACCTGTGTACTGCAAACACGTGGGCTGGCATTTCACTTGTAAGCCTTCCCCATCTTTAGTTACTTGCCTTGTTCCCTTTCAAGTGTCTAGGACCTGCTCTACAATCACTAAGGTACAACTGAATCAGAAAATTGCTGCCCACTTGAAAACCAGGCTTTGTTTTCTCTTTAGAGATCAGTTGGTCTGGAAAACATATTTCCAAAGCTCCAGAAGTAAATGAGTGTTAAAGACTGGGCCTGTCAACAGTCCCTTGACTGTAGCTGATTGTCCAAGGAAGCCCACAGCTTGAGGATGGCATGGCCATTCAAGGCTGATGCTCTGAATTCAAAGAAAGGTTCAACAGGGAGCAGCCAGAAAGAAAATCAAAATGTGTCTGGGGGTTGTTGGTCACTGATGTAAAAGAAATAAAAATAGAAGTTTATGATCTGAAACCTCCTCTTGCGTTTGCATGATTCAGACACTTTTTAAAATCAACATTTCTCAAATATCAACAGTGTTACCTGGGTAATCATTCAAGGATACTAATATACTGGAACAAACTCTTTTCCATCACTGCCGATGCTCTTCCCTAGATTTGTGTGTCTCTTACTAAAAGGTTGTTTATTTGGCTTTTTCTCAGAATTACTGCAAGATGTGTGCTTAGCTGTGCATGAACCCAATCAAAATATCAGTACAGCAGGGCAGAGAGGCAAACTAGAGAGAGCAGCTGTGTCCTTGGTGGTGAACAGTCTGCATTTCCCAGTAAGTGCTGGCTGGCTTGGACCAGGGTGCTGTGCCACCAGCCCCTCTCACAGGGCTGCCAAGGGCAGAGCTGGGTGCAGGGGCTCCCTGAGAGTCCCGAGGTTTGCAGTGGGTGCTGAGGAAAGTCTCTCAGACCTCAGGTAAGTAAAGTCCACCAGACAGAGGAAATGTGCTCTTATGCTCCTAGCCCTTTCATGTCTGAATTTTGCAGGTGAAATAACTATTTTACATCCTGTCTCACTCTTTCCTGTTACCATTTGCTGAAGTCATGCCCCTTATGATTGCACCATCCCAGCCTTTCTCCATTTACTCCCTTCTGCTGCAGCAGGAGGGGACACCAAGAGCAGAGGGCTTAGGGCCTGCCCCAAGCCAGCCCTGGCAGAGACACTGCCCAGGATGATCCAGCACTCTCTAGATGACATCTGGGGACGAAGAGCCCTTTCAGATGGCAGCGCCTCTCTTGCTCCTTCTGCTGAGCAGAGAATAAAGAAATGAGTATTTGTGTTCTGGCAGTTAGATCCAGCCTCAAATGGGTGGGACAGAACCTGAAGATAGTGTATGTAAACAAAATCAACAGTACCTTATGTTGGTTACATCTGTCATCCTGGCCATCAGCAAGGACACAAATAGGGAAAAAAGGCCAGTTGAAACCTGAGGAGGTTTTCCCATCTTGGCATCACTGTCACCCAAACACTCATGCAATTGAACCCCTCAGGCTGGATGGCTTAAAGGTAGGGCAAGAAGGGCGGGCAGCTATTGCAGCACAGAGCTGTAAGGGGCAGGAGGAGAGGGTGCCTGTGGGAAACTCCTCATGAAGGATCCCTCTGAAAAACCCTTCAGGCAGGGCTAAACACAGCAGAGACAGGCCAAGTCTCAGGGGTGCTCCCTCACAGTTGCTTGAGGTGGCCCAAGTGGGGCTGAGGACTGGACCAGAAAGGATGGAGAAGGCATGGAAAGATCTCTCAAGGAAGTTGAGAGTCTTGGTATACTGGGTAAAAACAGACATTCAATCAAGATAGCTTTTTTTAAGAGGGTGTTTTTGGATTGAAATACTTTAAAATATTTCTCTTCTAGAATAGAGATCTTTTAGATACAAGTTTCTGTGAAAAGGTATGGCCTTTTCATGTCTAGCTTTGCCAAATATTGATTTCTCCTTTTTGTAAGAATAAAAGCTCAGCAGCAGAAACTACTGAACTAAATATTGAATTTCTGCTAGATCCAAAACATTGGTAAATATCCTAGCAAGACAAATGAATGTCAAAGTGTTAACAGGGGCTGAGATGTTAATTGGAAAACATCTATTAGACTGTTCAGAGCTATGCATGAGAGCTGCCTGCCAGAACAGCTACCCAGCAAGCACATCTTCTGAGAAAGCAGCACTTAATACAGGTGTGGAACATTCTCCTCAAAAAAACAAAAGGAAGAGCATGCACTAGACATGACTTAGCCTCCCACCCAACTTCTGCAGGGATTAGAGGATCCAGTTTACCAGACTTTTCCCTGTATCTGAAAAAGTCTGTCTTCTGCCAGCTCCACTACCATCTGTATGATTTTGGAAAAGAGGAAAGAATGAAATCTTAGAACATTCATTTCCTGAGAAAAAGAATCTACAACCCCTGCCCCACCCCACCCTCCAAAAAAGCAGAAAAACCCAAAACCCAGAAGATATTTAAAAACCAGGAAATTCCACTAAAAAAAGTACCATAGGTCCAGAAAACTACAAGGCCATGATAATTAAATGTAAGTCATGCCCAGGCAGAATCCATCAGTAACATCAGGAAGAAAGGTGGAAATTAAAAATAAAATCAGAAGAGTCCTTGGTGGCTTAGCTGTATAAAACAACAGGGAAATCTGAAAAGTTCACCTCATGGGGGAATGTAATTAACTGAGGTGGCCCTATATCAATCAACATGAAAAATTAGGAAAAATTAAGAAAAAAATATTTTAATAGTAGAGATTAAAGCAAGGTTTAGGTTGGAAAGATAAAGAATTCTGATCTCCTAAGTAATTCAGTGTGGGAACCAGATCATCTAGGAAAGATCATACCCTGGGCTGGGTTCCTGGATGTAGGGAATAAACCTGAAGCCCTTGGGAGGCAGGGTGCTTGGGAGATGCTGATGGAGTCTTCCTGCATTAGACTTTTAAGGTCAAAACCCTGTCCTGAGTCTGTGATTGGACCTTTGCCCTCAGATACTCCTTTGTACAGCTGGGTTAACCACACCCCAGGTCTTTGGATGCAGCCCCTCAGACCGTGCAGTCTCTATGAACATTTAAATCTATCTTTGGCACTTCATTGTACCTCTCTCTTTATTTTTGCCACACCACCCGGCCAGGCCGGTCCCAGGTCACAGAGAGCACACTGTGACAATTCAGGGAGAGCACTTCAGTCCAGATTCAGGCTCAGAAAGGGCCAGAAGCCAGATTTATCTGAGGCTTTTGAAATTTGTTATATATTTACACAGTTTCAATAGTCCTTACTTTACAAGTCCATCAATACCGTTCCAAACCAGGCATCCCAATGGCTAATTTAGAAATGTAGTTTAGAGAGGCTTACAGTACCTGATAGCTTCATACAGTCAGCTGTGCCCAGAACCAAAATGCTGCAAAACCAGAAGAAAACAGTTTTTTGTTTCATGTGGATGTGGTGATCAGTGCCCTGCTGCTCTGCTGTGAGGGCAGGCTCGGGGCTTCCTGGCAAGGCAGGAAGCATCTGTGGTGGACACAGTCACACATCTGTCCAGGCAGCAGCAGGAGGGTAGCTGGCACCCAAAATCAATCAGCATTTTGGGGGTAGCCAAAGCCTTTGGAGATACCTTTGGCAAGCACACAGAGGAGCCAGCAGCTGGGGTGTGTTTGATTTCATGGGGCTGGGAAGGGTGTCTCTGCTGCCAAAGCTGTGACTGCAGGATGGTTTCAGTTTGTTTCCCCAGCAAAGCCACCCAAACCTAGCTGGGGTAGGCGGTGAAACACATCCTGAATCCTGTGGCAATAGCTGCTGATACAGTCTTGTAAACCACTTCCTTGACCTCAAATTGCAGCTGTGCACACTTTTATCTTGCTTGACGTATGGCTGGAGGTAGGATTTAATTTCCACTCTTCGTATGAAACAAGGCTATTAAGTGTTATTAGAAGCTGTTACTGTGATCTGCAGTGTCCATTCCACTAATACATTTATGTTTGCTTTCCAGCTTACCCTGAGATCTTTATTAGCCTGCAGGAGGGCTCAGCCAGCACTTCACAGAAGGTGAGCAATTTTGGAGCAAAGAGCGATGCCTGTGACTGCCACCATGCCACCCCAGCAGGGCCAGGCAAGCTGAGCTGAATCAGGCATAGGAGGGACCTCCAAACTGAGCTCACGGGGCAGCAGGCAAGGCATGGAGTTAACATGAGGTGCTCGTGCCCTTTCCTCTGAGCAACTCCCACCCCTCAGCAGTGAGCACAAACCAGAGCTAGCTAAGGACTTCTCTGTTGTGTGGGCCTCTCTTCTAGTTTTGGTGATGGTGAAACCTAAAAGTCTGCTGAATTGCACTGGCCATGTTTGGCATAAAAACGTATTTATGGCTCATATGGCTGACTAGCAAACCTCCCTGGCTATTAGCTATGGTGCTTTGCTTCCGGTTCCATCTCTCCAAGTTAAAGCTTTTGATCTGAAAGTATCTCAAATCAAGAAGGTTTTACTTGGAAACAGAGCTTGTGGGCAGGCAGAACCTTGTACTATCCATAACCACCCACACAATCCATGAATCATTTGCTTCTGCAAACTGGTATAATTTTCCTGGTGACCTATTTCTGGGTGTGGTGTTGGACATTGCAGACTTTTGTCTGCATTGTCCTGCTGAACAGAGCAAGGGGTGCTGCTGTCACAGGACTGGGCAATAGAAACTCCCCCAAGAGCCTCTGTTCTTCACCTCCAAACAAGCACTGACTTCTTTACTTCACTTTTCTGCCTTTTTTTGCAGGGCTTAGATCTAGTGATGATATTGGATTTGTATTTCTTCATAGGAAGAATTTATAAAGTATTATTCCATAAAAGTGCCTGAAAAATAAGGGAATAATGAAGAGGAAAATAGGAGAAAGCAATTCCACTACAAGCTCAGGTGTTGTTTATCATGGCAGGGAAAGAGTTTCAGCTGGATAGTTTCAGTCTTCCTACTGAAAGCTTGACTTCTGCTGGCTTCAATACATCAAGCTTGCTTTCAGCTAAATGTGGGAACCACTTTCTTTAAATGAGGGAGCAAGAGAGGTTTGTGCTGCATAAGTAGCACATGCTTTTTTCTTCTGTTGAAAAGAACAAGGCCATTTCTCTTCTGACAGTGTTTAGTACTTAGCAGTGTCATAACCTGCTAAATAAACATACTTGGGAACGTCTAGGCAGCATGAGGATGAGACCTCTCACCCTGCTAGTGCCCAACTCTTCATCTAGCCTTGATTTTGAGGTCCTGCCCATCTATTGTTTGCTGGGAAATTAAACAGAGCACAGGCACAGATCTTTGGAACAACTGGCACAGAACGAGGACTACTGCATCTAAAGTATCCAATTCCTTGTGATTTTTGTAAATCTCTTACATATTATGTCTGCTAGAAAGATCTGCTAGAAATTTTGTAAATTCAACATATTGTGCTAGGCAGTCCTTTTCATGCCAATTGTCTCTTTATCTGCCTAATGAAGAAAGGATTTGCACGGCAATTAGAAAGAGCCTCATTCTCCTCACACACACTGTGCCCTTTACCAATTCCAGTGTTTTTCCATGTGAGTGTTTGTGGCTGTTAGCAGGAGTTTGGAGGTCCCTCTACATCTTTCCAGCCACAGCTCAGGACTGGAGGGGGTTGGAGTCCTGGCACCCAGGGCAACAACCCTGGGCTCTCATTCAACAGTGTCTGCAGACAGAAAAATGAGGGGAGTGGGCAAGAAACACAATAGAGGAAGCAAGTAACAGGAGTTTGGGAGCTGGCAGCCAGGAGGGAAATGTCAGAGGCTCACCCAATGTGTGTACATATATGTGTGTGTATATATATATACATATATACATATATATACATATATATATATATATATGTATGTATGTAACCTAACCACTGCCTTGTGCTGCCCCACAGCCCAATGTGAGCTGTGTCGTGAGGAAGGCGTTTCACAAGCCAAGCCTCCTGTGGTACATGGACAGAGCGAGCCTGATGGAGAAGCCTGGAGGTAAAGCAACCTGTCCATGGGGAAACAGCAGGAGTGGTCCCCAGGGAAAATCATGACTGCAGGTAGGCACTCCTGCCACAGGGAACCTGTAGGTGTCTATCTGGCTGAAGGGGGGAGCACCAGGCCTCCTCAGAGGAAACAAGAGGTAAATGGCTGTGACCAGAGCCCCCTGCCAGAGATGGGAACTATGGTTTGACATGACCACACCATTCCTGCCAAATCTTTGACAGTGTCTCAGCAAAGAAACCTATGGCTATATGAGCCTGCTTTCCACAACCAGTATTTTGCACAGCTCTGACTTAAGAGTTTGGAGTGTAACAAGAGGGTCTTTTCTTGTTTTTTTCTCTCCCTAAGAAATTTCTGTGGTACAAGAAGACTTGCAAGACAGTGAAGGTTTCTATGAGTTGAGATCAACGCTGATGCTGCAAGGGACCCATGAGACACATAAGACATTCTCATGTGTGTGTCTGTTTCCCTTCCTGGGAAATGAAACAAGGAATATTTCATCAGAAGAAATATTTGTTTCCTTTGGTAGGTTTGTCATAGATGGGACACATCTAAAGTGTTAAGAACAACAAACACATGTATTCTCTTGTTATTTAAAATGCTGAAGAAATGCCAGCACTATAGAAGCTTTATTGTACAAGTTCATCACGCAGCTTGAACTCTCTGGCAGGTTTTTTGGCTCAAATCTTTGCTCGAGCCTCTGAATGCGCTAAGAAACTCCTGCTCAAGCAGAAGACACTCGTTTGTTTAGGCAGAATCTTGCTGTACTTCCCATACCCAAAACTACTCAAGCATAGCCACATGGCACCAGTGAGCTATTATAATCATGTGTTTCTCACAGAGCACTTGTGGCTCCCTGGGAAATCAAATCCTCAGACTCAGGGCTATGTTATACACCTTCAGTAAAACATGCAAAAGACTGCACCTCTGTGGACAGTGAAGAAATGCCCCTATAACTTGTACTTTAAGAATTAGCTACATGACTGGGGAAGTGGGGAGAAATACTGTCCTGTGTTTTTGGTGAAAGCAGGTGACTTGGCGGTACTGTTTTCAGCACCTCTGAGGATGCAGGGTGACTGGTGAGAAGGGCAGACAGATTTCCTTTAGCACCCTCCTGTGCATGTCTCCCCTTCAGGTGCAAATGCATATTTATACCTTTTTAATTTTTTTTTTTTTTATGTATGCTCCCTGCTGCACAGACAATACAACTGAGCTGCTGACCCCTTAGCAGCATCTGGGGGCACATCACCTGCCGTGGCAACTACTTGCAGCTCAGCTGGGTTCTCTTGTGGCTGTGTATATTCCTATTGATATGTTTTTCCACAAAGTAAGGCTGCAGCAAAAGCCACAGCTTACTCCTCTGGAAGCATAGCTTCAGAGGGGAGGGAGATAAATCATAATTTTTTTCTCAAAAATGACTCATTTCCCTCAATTTGCAGTTTTGTAGAAATGTATTCATATCGAAGAGCTGTCAATTAAAGCAGTCTATGTTCTTGCCTGCAGGCTATGCCAAGATAGATCCACTCTGTATAAAAATGTTAAAGTATTTAGATGTGACAGAAAGGAAAGAATTAAATTAATTCTCAGCCATACCTTCTGCGAAGGTGCACTGTATGACACAAGCCCAAACTAAATTTTCAGCCTTTATAACTGCTTTTAAGAACTGCTTTAATCTTTCTTTTTTTTTTCCTTCATAGGCAATAAGTCTGATGAAGCCTCAGCTGAAGTTTTTACTACCACAGTTTCAGATGGTAGGATAAATTAGAGAATAAAATAATTTAGGTTGTGTTCGAGGTCCATTTCTAAAGTCCTAAACCTGTTGTAGCACTTACTACTCTAAATGGGTAGTAAGGAACCCCTTTCTGCAGCTTTGACTTCAGAGAAAATACTATAAGCCAATATTTTGGTGATGTAATCTATTATAATTAAGACCAAGCATAATTAAACTCCAGCCTTGAGGGGCACTTAATGTTATTTCTGATGCTTCAGCTGGCATTTGAATATAGCTCTTTCAGTACTGAACTAATAATAAAAAGTAACAGCCCTGCTAATGGCTCTACCCTCTGCTTAAGTACAGAGCCAAAATCCTCAACACTTTTGTGATGTTAAAGAACTGATAGGATGTTTCTTAATTTGTATAAATTTGGTAAATCCCTGCTCTTCCCCTGCAAGTTTGCCTTACTTTCAGCTTATTGCAGACAGATAAATGTTCTCTCCACACCTCAGCTGAAGCCCTTTGGACACATCTCTCCTGGGGCAGTTTGCTTTGCTCTGTTCTGCATGGGGGGCAGCTGCACTTTAGCAGGGGGTTACATGAGTGTGTCAGAGAAATGCTGTAAGGAAATGGCATGAAAAATATGGGTTTTGTGGGGAAAAAACTTCCACAAGCGCAGGTTGTAGCAGGCCCTGGAGGTTCAGCCAATACCCCATTGGCACCAGAAAACCATCCCAGATACTGGGGGCCCTGAAAGAGGCAGATTTTTTCCTCTGCTGGCCTCTGCAAGGTGAGCTCTCATAGGAAGCCTAGCAGCTTGCATCAGGCCACCCCCCTGCTTCACCTTGCATGCCCTGCAGAACCCTCTGGGAGCCAGGCACATCTCAAAGAGCCTCGCTGCTCTGGTCTTCACACCTGCTGCACCTTTGGTAAGGAGGCCTTTATGTCAGCCAGCCGCTGGGAAAGCCCTGCTAGCGCAGGCAAGGCTAGGCTGAAAGGCAAATGGCAGAGCAGCAGTCCAAGTGTCAGCACAGAAAAGCGGCTGGAGAGCAGCTGGGTTACCTGCCTGTGCCAACACCCAGCCTGCAGTCCCACCCAACACCCTCACACGTGCCTGCCCAGGCAGAGGCAACATCTGGCTGCCTTCCCAGACCTGTTTTTCTAATGAAGTGTGGGAGCTTTAATAGATCACTTCCTTCATGGACCTCTTTGGGGGACACAATTCATCCTCCTGGCCTACTCAGGGAGTACTTCTCCTCTCCTGCTAGGAAAAAAAAAAAGAAAGAAAACAGACATCTCAGGACATATACGCTGCTTGGGCAGGATGGTGTCTCTGCTGAGCTAGCCTGTGTGGTTAACAGTTTTTGATTAGAAGGAATAATTCCCCCTCCTCTTCTTGAGAACTCAGTGAGCACTTTTCAGTGCAAGGTGTCTCTGAAATTTCCACCCAGAGTTGCAGCCTCTGAAGTGCCTCATGGATGAAACTGTGCAGGTGCCACCACCAGGTCCTAAATGTTATTTCAGTGTCTGTGCTAATACGGTGCACCTCTCTGTGTGGAATAAACCCATGTGATTCATTTCTGGGTTTTAAGTTGAGGTGCCAGCAGCTCCGAAGTTTTTCCCCCCAAAACCTTTGTTTCCCTAGGGATTTCTCAGCACAGTTACCTCAGGTGTTATGAATACACTAGAAAGAGATATATAAGGAAAGGTTTTATTAGTTACTTCATGTTTCCTTTTGGACTACTTGGCTGAGCTGTGCATGGAAAGATGATTTGGAAATTTGGTGTGATACACTTTCTTGCTCCTGAACCTTTCAATCACCCACTTTCCTAAAGCAGAATAAACACTTTTCTCATGCTGAATGTTTGCTTTGATTTGTTATAGGCTTCAATAATTCAACACTTACATCAGCTCTCATGGCAGCCTCAGGTAAGGGGAAAAATACTTTATTACTTACTCAATATATGTAGGTTCTCTACTTGACCACTGCCTAAATCTCATGCAGACAGAGTCAGAGGTGTGACAGGCAAAGGTCAGTGTGCTCTGGTACTGACAGCACCAATGTGCTGCTGCTTGGGAATTTGTGAGGTTACCCAAGCTGAGATCTGACACAAATCTTGCTAAAACTGCCACGTTAGGACAGCACATAAAATGGCATGCTGATTATATATCATCCTTATGTATTTTTATAAAATGGAATAATATGCCTATAAAACTGTAAATTAATTTGTCCTATTGTGACAGAGAGGTGCATGGGATAGAAAAGTTAAAGTCATCACTTTTCCTCAACCCAACAGCAGGGCATCATTCCCATTCATTAATTATATAACTGACTGTGTTTTACCAGAGCTTGGATATGGATAATTACATAAAACTATCTGCACCAATTGAGAGGAAAACTCGCAAGAGCAGGTGATCTCCTGGGCTGATATGGCTGTGGCCTGTGCTCATGGACCATTTCTGGCAAGGCCCTGGTGCAGCTGGGGATGCACACCACATCCAAGTGCACAGCAGTCAAACTGAACCCTGTGTATAAAAGCACAAATAAGCAATGGCTGCAGCCAGCCGGCAGGAAAGGGTCAGCATGGATAACATCAGCTGCCTGCAAGTGCCCACTGGAGTTGAGAAATGTGTTTTGAGCATTTAGCCTAAACTCCCACAGCAGGATTTCTGCTGCACTGTCTGCATTTACCCAACAGCTACTGCAAGCTCTTTGATCTGGGTTGTTTTGTGATTTATTAACATTATTTTCTAAAGAATCTATTGACTAAATGTGATACTATGAAAACTGTCTTTAGCACACCAGTTGACATCTGTGGCCTCTCTGGATTTCACAAGTCAAGCAAATTTGGCTCCTGCTTCCACAACACAAGGTAATCAATTGAATCAAACTGTTTTCTCTATTGCTTCAACAATGTAGAAGTAAGACACATAAACACAATAACCATCTTACTTTTTTTGAAGCAAGAAATTTAATGTCCATTGAAGTTCTTCTCCTAGTGCTTTACACTAGGAAGTATACTAACCACTATCAGTGTAACCACACTTCAGGAATAAATATATGAGAAAATACTGTCTTGATTTTATCTTTTTTAATGCTCTGGTTAGGATACATTCATTAATTTTGGTAACTGAACAGACACTGAGTGTTATTAGTGTTTACAAAGAAGTTAATTAGCGTTATGATAGTGTTTACAAATAATACCTATTGTCTTTGTTAAATATCATACCTACATAGAATACTGGAGGCTTTGGTCTGCCCCAGAAGAGTGCTCTTTGGGAGCTGGATCACTCAACATAAAGCTCAGGTGCTTGCAGAGGCTTGACTGAGATATGCCAAGGCAGGAGCACAGATTGCAGCACTGCTGAAATGAAAGTTTGCTGCTTCTCACGCTGCCTCCCCCATCCCCAAAACAGAGACACTTGCCTGGCTGACAGCAGAACAGCAAAGTTGCTTGTCCAAGTGGACTGAAAGCCCTTCCATCTCAACAAAAAAATTCACAACAAAGGTTATAAATATACAATGCGAAGAGAGAGGATTCTCCTTGCTGAATTATACATTTTCTCTGGTTGAGGTGGTAGGAGGTCAGACTCACAATGTAAGATGGATCTGAGCCATTTCTATTCTGCAAGTAGCCTGGGAAGCAATTGCCTTTTAACCAGTGGTCCCAAAGTGTGCCAGTCTTGGTATGACAACCCTGGGTTAGCACTTCTCCTGTCTGGCTCACTGCTGGTCCTCACACTGGTGCCACCATCTGCTCCTTGAGCAAATCCTCTGGGCTACAGTCAAGACAGGACACCAAGCCCAAGACATCTGTTTTAGTCTACTGGTTTGGTTCAGTCCCTGTTATTCTGCAAGTTTTTAATGAAAACCTAAGAGACAGCTGAGAATGGATACACGAGAGAAGAGTGCACATATATAGGCAAGAGGAGAAAGAGGGGAAGCAAAACCAAGGCTGCTAAAACTCTAGCTTGGTTTTGCTCAGCTTCCACAACTGCTCCATCACTGAGCCAGAGATGCTTAGGCTTTGAGTGATCAGTTACAGCTGCAGTTCACCTTCACAGGTTTGTTCAGATGGCTTGACATTTTTCCAAAAATGAGACAGTTATTAAGAAATACAGATTCTTTTTAGCAAATGTGAAATAGTCCTCTCAGGAAAATGGAGGTCTATGTGGTAGCCACCATCTGTCTGTGTTTGAATATTAGATAAATAGCTAGCTGTGTTCTAGAAATCTTAGCACTTAAAAAAATGCTTCAAGGATGTCCTGGGGTGACTTTATGGTGCTTGTGTCCCCAATCATCTGTCCTGTTTTCAGGCTGTATATTAAGATCCGCACCTTTAAGACTGGTTCTGAGAGCAAAATGAGGGGAAGAAGCCACAGTTTGTGCTGAGAAAGAGCCCTCACTGCCCTGCATCCTGCTCCTGGGCTGTGGTGTCTGCAGCATGGACAGACAGCAGGACAGAGCTCTCCTTTGCTTTTAGTTAGTTTTAGCCAGCTGAGGCAGAGGACTTCCCTGCACTGTTTTTTCCTTTTCCTTGGATCAGTTCAAACCTGCTCTGGACTGAAAACCCAGACAAACCCTGGGAGCTCAGGCCTGTGTCCCACCAGGGCCTGGACCTCGGCACTTTCCAGTTCAGGAGGGACTGATAAGAGACTGAGTGAACTGAGCTACACCCCATGAAAAGGACTATGTGAATTTGCCATCTCTTCAAAAATGCAAGAAGTTTTATTGTTTAATATTATTCAATTTTTATGCTTGTAGACACTTTGCTTGTTAAATAAACAGTTTTTTCCACTTTTCTCCAAGGAAATATTATCCTGAACCATTTAGGGGAAGGGCCACTTGAATTTGCTTATCTGGATGGACCCCATTCAGAGGTTTTCTCCCAAATTTGCCCTAAAACAGGACAAAGGACAATGTTAAATGAATTGGTATCTGGCATCAGACATTGCAGGTGTAACTCTTGTACTCTTGCAGTCGAACTTCTTCAAAACTTCCTTTTGCTAGTTGAGAAAACAGTTTTGTTTCACTGGAGCTGTTGACAGCCTGTCTAAATTTTGATTCATGTATGTTTGTTCATCGTTCTGCTGGTTTCAGGCTGAGCTCCTGAGGTTCACCTGAAACTAAGCTGAAACATAAAAATGCTTCAAATGTTTTGTCTAAGTTTATTTACCTGTCTCAGTAAAACTCCTCTTGAGTTTCTTGCCTGTGATAGGCTTTCAAACCAGACACAGCGTTGTGTAGTGCCTGTCTGAGGGAAACCAGCATCTCAAGTAGTGGGCTACACCTGTTTAACCTCATTAGTCACAAAACAGGGAAGAAAGAGGGGGAAAATGAAAAACAAGTGATATGGTTCCCTACAGCAATTTTTACAAGTTTGTGTGCTTCTCAGCAGGAGCACTGACTTCTACCACAGAGGCAAAAGGCCATACCAATGCCACAGCATTCAGTGAGACTTTGACAACAGCACGTGAGTAGACAATGCATCTCCTGTGCTTCACAGCACTGCAGAGGAGGAGTTATGGTAAAAGGGTAAATGTGGCACCAGCTTAGTGAATGTTGGGTTGCAAATCCACAGTAATCTGGAGCATCTTGCAAAAACCACAGCAGCAGGTCCTCAGGTCCTCAATATGTGATGCCTTTTCTCAGAGCATTAGCTCTGTGGTGCTCATTTTCAGCTGCTAGCTGAGAGTCAGCACATTACCATGTAAAAATTATTACTAAGCATGGAAAAGTTGTGTCTGAGCAGAGGTCAAAGTCATGTGGAGTAGTAACATGTACCAGGTTTTCAATACTTCACAGAAGCAATTTCCCTGTTGAGTTTCACTGAGTTAGAGGATAAAGGCTTGGGCTTCCAAGCTGTCAAGGATTTGCAGTGGCAAAAAAGGAATGAAAAAACATTTGAGTATTCTGGTTTCATTAGACATATTTATTTTAATAATATTACAATTGACATAGTTGCTAGGCAAATGTAGTGAGTGCTGAAGGTAGTTTATAGATGAAATAAATTGCCGGAGAAGCCAAATAAAATCACAGAGCAGCAGTGAAATAATGAGATAATGTGGAGTAATAAAGGCTGGCTAATAGAACATTGAAAGACAGCCTCATTAAAGATCAATAAATCAATAAAAAAAAAAACCCTAGGGTGAACATTTTTCCCTTTAGAAAATCTCTGCTCAGCGGTATAAAAGCCTGAAGTGACTTTCTTTTTTAACATCTTGGTTTGCCTCTTGCTTTTGGAACAGGCAGGACCTGTCAATGTGCTTTTGCATTTGCATGGGAGTTGTCTTTTGGCTGAGGCACAAATGTAGCAGCCGCTTTCCATTTTGTGAATGTATTTTTGGTAGCACTCCGGTACTTATCTACACTCCTACAACCCACAACCGTGCATTTATACCACAACCTTGTGACAGCTTCTAATGCTTCACAATTCTGCTCTTCCACAGCTTGCAATTTATGCTAAGAGCATGCTGAATTACTCTACTGTTTGCAGGGGATACTGTGTGCTGCTCCACTCATCCCCACATCCCTGCCCCTGCTTCCCTAATGGCCTTGAATGCTGTCCTTGGTCCAGCAGCTGTAATTGAGGGCAGTTTCAGAGCACACAAGCACCAGCGAGCCTCCTGAGGCATGCACATGTATCCCTGTGCCCTCCCAGGGCCACTGGGCTCCAACAACAGTGATTACCATTATCATTTTGGCACTGGGATGCTCTAACACAAGCCATTATGTAAATAAGGATAAATAGGAGCTGTACAGGAGCACAGTGCTGTCGGATCTCTAAGTGCATATCCCTTTTTTTTTTTGTATGTAACTTTGTAAAATGCCACACATTTTACAAATGTGAGATGTGTCATGCCTATTCACATAAAATCAAATACCTAATAAGCAAGTAGAAAAGAACTGAATTAATATCCAAAAATCTCAGTGAATTTTTAGTGTCCTAGAATTGGACTGATTTCCATATTTTCATATGTCTTTTTAATGCACACCTATATACACACATATACACATACACACACATACATGCACACACTTGAACTCCCAATTTCAGTCAAAGCCAGCAAGCATCTCATAATAAAGAGATTTTCATGGTTCTGTCTGGTTAGTCATTTACATCATTTAAAGCTGGGTTTTTGTTTTGGATTTATAAATCAGCAGTTATATCAGAGACTTTCATGTTTCTCTGTTATTTCATTTGTTGTTTGCATCAGAGGAAGTCAAAGACTACGAAACAGCCACAGTAGAGCCTAATGAAGTAGTCATGTACAGACTTGCAAGATAATTGAAGTCATTATTTCTTTTTGTACAAATTTGAATGATTCCACCACTGGATCCTCACATCAGAAGTGCCATGAAAGCTCTGGAAATGCTGTGCCATTGTCTGGTTGAGTATTTTAGCTATTATTTCAGAAGCTGTGAATGTGGAGATGGCTAGAAGAAACAGAAATGTATCCTTACAGAGATCTTAAACATCAGTAGCTTAACTGTATTAGGAAGGGAAAAAAAACTGTCTTTAAACAGATGATAGATGATTTTTGTGGTTCAGACAGTACTTGACAGTGGAGACTGAGGTTTTGCTCAGTCATGACAAAGGCAGACTCTTTATGTTGCTGCTAAGCCACTTAATATCTTTAGGTCTCTCATTACCATCAAAGAGGTAAAAAGCTTATCATTCTCCCAGACATCTGTGCAGCTCAAAGCTGGCTCAATGCTGGCTTACTGGAACATCATAACAGGTATTCTCCTCTCCTCGAGTCTCCTCTCCTCTCCTCGAGTCTCCTCAAGTCTCCTCTCGTCTCCTCTCCTCTCGTCTCCTCTCCTCTCTCCAACACCAGGTTGTAGTTTTAGGTCAAAAATGCAGGCATCTTGCCAAGTGAATTTTTACACCCCGATCCTGGAATTGAATTTCCTGTTTTCAGCAGGATGAATAGGGTTCAAAAGACAAGCTTCATTTTTAAAAAATCAAATAAGTTACTAAAAATGTTCTGTGCCCATATCTTTATAGGTAGCCTGTCCTACAACATCACAGACCAGACAAATTCAGTTACCAGAGGAAAACATTTCTTTCCTACCAGCAGCCTGCTGAACAGTACTGGTGAGACATTATCCTGCAAATCCTCTGCTTTCAGCATGCCACTGCAGAAGCACAAAACCTGAAGCATCATGTCCATTTGACCAGGGGATTTCAAAATAAGAGGGAAAGGAGTTGAAAAGAGGAGTCACAGCTGCTGTGTCCTCATACCACAAGTTATCACAGGTTTTTGGCATTTCAGCCTAATCCCTTCATCTGCAAGCAAATCTCCAGTGCATACTTTCTTCCAGCAGCAAAATTTAGCCAGTGACACTCTTGTGCCCTAGGGAAATCTCATGGTTCATGAAGCGTGGTGGACTGGCCACAGCTCTGGTTGCCATGGTGGGCAAGACCCAGCCTGGGTGACACAGCAGTGTGGCCAGCCTTGCACAGGGTGGTGATGCCAGCACAACAGGAGGTGACACTGAGGGGAATCACCCATGGATCTCTCTGGCACCCAGGCCACTGCTGCACCCTCTGGCAGCTGGAGGAGGACTGTGCTCCTTCTCTCCTTCTTCTCCATACCCAGGACCTGAGGACACCTCTGTCAGCAGCCCCAAGGGTGGCTGGGCAGAAGGGGGAAGGGAGGGGAATCCCAGCACTGCAGTGGGGAGAGGCAGCTGGAGTGAGACTGGGATGCTGTGCTGCCAACAAGAGCTCACCTCAAAAGGCAGCTGAGCCCTTGGCCAGACGTTTTGGCAGGGTCTGGTATCAGTGGTGTGAAAAATAAACCATTGGGAAGGAGGGCTGGAGTGGGCTGCTGTGCCCATCTGCACTGTGACATGCAGCTCTCAGGGGAACAGAGAAAGCCAATGGGTTTTGGATGAAATGCTCTCTAGGCTGTGCCTAATAATCTTATCAAATGAACCAGTGGGTGGCTGAAATCAGCTCCACACCTAGTCAAAACAAAAGTGGGCTAAGCCCATAAATCAGAGCTGCAGTGCTTGCAGTTTGGGATCCTCAGCCTGGTGATGAGGGGCTGCACTGACACCAGCTCTGTGCAGGGCAGGGAGCAGTGAGCCACAGACAGCAAGCCCGGATTTCCCTCCCCTCTGAGGACATTTAGATGAGCTCTGTGTGTCCCTTGCAGGTGATGGGAAGAACACCAAAGCCAGTCACTTCCCCTGGCCAACAGTGGTAGCTGTCCTGCTCCTCTTCTGCAGTGCTCTGGTAGCTTTAGGCATCAGGAAATGGTGTCAGTATCAGAAAGAGATGTAAGTACCAGTGAAGGAGCCACAGGGGTGGGAGGGGTGGCACAGAAGGCAGCATCAGCTTTAACCCAGCTGTGTGGATTTACACCTTTTCATTTGAGACGACACATAGCAACACAAGGCCTTTAAGTACATGGATCACTAATGCCATTTTTTTCTATACAGCAGTATGTAAAGTGGAGTGTTCTCAGTCTCAGTTTCATCTGTTCTGTGGGTAATCTTTAAAATAAACTACAAGAAAAGAGCTGCAGTGCAGCTTCAGGGTGTAAGGGAAGAGTAACAGTCATTTTTTGTCCCCAGAGTCCCCCACTTCTATTAGCCTCCCTGCCAACTGCTTTTGCTCTCTCATTTTCTATGGTTACTTGAGGACATGTTTTAATGAAATTGTACTTCTAGGGCAGCTCCATTTGAGTTTTGAATAATATATGTGAAAGTAGGCTACCCAAAACTCAATCCCAGTCAAAGAAGCATTGAATTTGTAATTATTACTGAAGTTTGATTCCCTACTAAAGCAATCCAAGATCTACTGGTGAAAGCAATATCTAAGAGACAATTATTTTAAATCTTACTAACATTACTAAAATACTCAAAAAAATCATAGTTATAATTAATCGATTATTATTTTAGAAAACCCTCTTGAAACACAACTGAAAATCCTGTATATCAAAGATAAAAACAGGATTGATTTTTTTTAACTGATTTGAGATGGGACCTTTATTTATAAATTGATCCAAAAAAAGTTACAAGCCTTTAAATATACTTTGAGAGAGCAGTATGAGCAAAAGGCCTGTGTGAGAGTTTTGGGTGGTTCATCAGGACCATGTTCTGTTCTTTTAGAACAAGAATGAAGTAAAACTGTGAGGTGGGAGCTAAGAAAGACAGATGAATAGCAGGAGGTGTGCTGGGGTTATAAAACAGACTCAGGGAAGTCACAGTATGTAAGAGCTTATGTCAGGTGCTCCTATAATGATTTAGCTCCAATCCACCTCCTCCTGTGAACATTTTACAACTGTCTTTTACGCTACTTTTGTGTGATAGTGCATTTTCTCTCTTCTATTTCAGTATGAACAGACCTCCATCTTTCAAGCCACCGCCACCTCCAATAAAGTACACCTCCATGGTAGAGTCTGATGGGACTGCCCCATCCTGCCATGAACTGGAAAACCTGTAACATCACCTGCACCCCTTGTGTAGCACACAGAAGACTGACACAGTTAAAAGGCTCTGCCTTTAGAACAGTGGTTACAGGAGCTTAGTGTTAATGACTCATATTAAAATTCAGAGCTCCTACACGACATTAATTTTGGAAGCTGAGCACTCCTTAGGACACTCCTTTCATCCTATATATCTCTATGCATGCACTATGTTAAAAGCATCGTGAGTGTCACTGTGAGATTACATGTGCTTGATTTAATTGGGAGATCAACTGGGAATTTGCTGTCTCGTCCATGGTAGCAGATTAACACATCACTCTGCCAGCCTGACTGAAGAGTGTTGAAGCTTGTCTAGCTATTAAATGTATAGAGATGACAGCTCTGCTGTATGGACACCACAGTTACACAGAAAACATTGGCTGAACACAAGATTTTAAGACCTACATGAGCTGTTCTTGCAATTATTTATTTTTACTGTGGACTAATATAACCCAACGTATCATTTTCTATCACTGTGAAACCAAAAGAAAGGATCAGCACCATACAGAGAAAGAAAATAACTGGCATCTCTTGGCACAGGATTGCTGCACTGGATCATGGAGGGTGGTTGGTGAGATGAAAGATCATGGTGCCTGACTGGTGCAAGTGTATGCAAAGAAGTCCCAGCTGTCATCGGTGAAGTCACAAGAAAGTCAATTTTGGGCCAGAGATTTAAGGACTGAAGCAAGCCTAAAGATAATAGAAAATTCTAGTCCTTTTGGAAGTGCTTTGCCTTTGAAATAATACTTACTTTTCAGGAATTATATTTACAGTATACATAAAAAAAAAAAAAAAAAGTAATCATTTTCTTTTTCTTTGGTCTTAATGAGCTTCCATCATTTGCATCTTTACATTTTCCAAGACCTCGGGGTTTCCCAGGTGGCTTAAGTTTCTGAAAGAGATGATCCAGTCTTCCCCTGTCCTGCCCAAGCTACATATTTTCCTCATATTGACACTAATGAATAAATGATGGAGCAGAGGGTGGGCTCGACCCTCTGCACAGTTCTCAGCCAGGTCAGCAGCTGTGTGATCACCAATGCAAGGCACCAGAGCTGCAGGAGGAGCTCTGCTTTTGGCAGCAATTACAGTACCTTCAGGCAGCCAAGAAACCATCCCCCTAAGCTCGCTTGGAAATGTATTGTTACCACAGTGGTATCTCTGCAATTAATGCAAATCAGCTAAAATTCAATCATGCCAGGCTTAAAATTGATATTCTGATTTAGGAATGGGATTTGCTTTATTTACTGCTAAACACTGGTCGATGAGTGTCAGGGTTCAGAGCATTGTATTACCCAGGACTTTAGATTAAATGAATGGCTTACTGGAAAGAATGATCTAACAGACCCTTTTAGAGTATTTCAATGTATTATTTATGTTATCGTACAAGCAGTTCTAAATCCATCATCTGTGCTGATCAGGAAACACTTTGTTTCCTACAAAACTATACCGACCTTCTATGCATGGAAGGGTCCACGTTAATTTGAGCATTGTGTTGAGGAAGCACAGTAGTTTAACTTTTGTCATACTATCCACTGCTGCAAAAGAGGGCAGATTGTTGCCCTTAAAAAATAAATTAGAAAAAAAAACCAAACAACAATAACAAAACATAAACAGGTGGATAACAATATTCCAAGGGGTGTGGAGAGCCAGGACGTTCCTCCTTGTCATTAGCGAGGATGATTGTCCGTAGCATTCATGCCGAAGGGGGCTATTTCATTATCTCGGGTATTCTGACCCCCACGGTTGCTTCTGGCCAGAGATGTTCCCTCTGACCGGCAGCAGCGCTCATGGTGGGACCGCTTCCTGCCGTGAGCGCCGCTCCCCGACCGCCCATCCCCGGAGGCTGCTGCAGTCTCCGCAAGCGCTGCTCCGCAGGGTAACGATGCCCGGTTGAGCCCCCTTGGCCGGGGTAGGGCGCTTCCAGCCTCTCCCGAGGGTTTTCCTCCCAAATCCCCGCGCTGCGTCCGGCGGGCGGGGAAGCGGCCGCGCTCCCGCCGCTCACCAGCGGGTGGCGCCGCAGCACCGCGCCCGGCNCCTCCCGTCCCTCTGGAGCTCTGGAATTATTTGACCCAGATCAAGTTACCTAGCAGATGTTTGAAGGTGTTTATGGAAGTATTAGATAAATGCTTTTCTGTAAGTGGAGAATGTTCAAAGTTTGCTGTGTGGGCATAGAAAAGGTTTTTATTGTTTTTACTAATTTTTTGAGAGAGTTGTAAATGTTTGTTGTGGTTTAACCCCAGCTGGCAGATCACTTCTACCAGTAGGATGGAGAGAAAACTGGAAGAGTAAAAGTGAGAAAAATCATGGGCTGAGATAAAGACAGTTTAACAGGGAAAACAAAAGCTACACACAAATTAAAACAAGGAATTTTTTCACTGCTTCCTATGGGCAGGCATGTGTTCAGTCAATGCCAGGAAAGCCAGACTCCATCAAGTATAAATGGTGAATTGGGAAGGCAAAACACCATCGCTCTGAATGTTCCCCTCTTCCTTCTTCTTCCCCAGCTTTATATGCCAAACACGACACCATATGGTGTGGGACATCCCTGTGGTCACTTGGGGCCAGCTGTCCCAGCTGTGTCCCTCACAACTCCTTGTGCACCCCCAGCCCACTCACTGGTGGGGTGGGAGGCAGAAAAGGCTATGACATTGTGTAAGCACTGCTCAGCAGAAATGGAAATATTTCTGCATTATCAACACTGTTTCTATCATAAACCCAAAACACCACCTCATAAATCCTCACACCAGATACTATGAAGAGAATGAACTCTACCCCAGCCAAAACCACATTGCTAAATGCAAATCCATGACACAATAAAACCTGCAAAGCAGACCCAAGTTAGAATCTGAGGTCACATGTAATGTCATACTGTGAAATTAGCTGGGTCTGCTGCATGTGGTCTTTAATACCTGCATTACACAGCCATAAAAGCAACACACTGGAAAGCTAGGAAGCTATGTGGTTTTATGCACAAGTGGTTTTCATCTGCTCCTGAGGAGATGGTGAATGCAGCAGGGTGAGGGGGAAAAAATGGCAAAAGGAAAGAATTTGTTCATGGTATTTGTTTGCAGTTGCTAATGTGCCTCATCAAGTCAGTGGTAAGGCCTGGGGACTTCAGTGGAGTGAGTGACCCTTCCCAGCACTCTGTGGTTTGTATTCCTACCTGTTGTATCCAAGTGGTGCTGGACCCTGCTGGGGGACCCTTCCTGGGCCAGGAAAGGCTGTCAGCCCCAAGCCCATAGGCTACGTGGAGCAGACAGCTGTCCTCAGCCTGTTCCCACCTCTCTGACAACAGCTTTGAGCTTAGAGGATGCCCTGCTCCTGGCAAATCCGACAGCCATCCCATTACCTTTCTGCCTCACTCTGAATCACACATCCTTTTCAAGCAGTATTGCAGCGGCTTCTCTTACAAGGCACCTTTTAGTTCTGTAAATTCATTAAGCCTGGTTTGTTTATTTAAGAAGCATCCCTATAGTTTGCACGGTGTGCTGCAGTAACTGGAATGCAGGAAGAGGTGTGGCAGTGCCTGGGAGCAGGGAGCAGGCTGTGGGAGAGCACAGGCTCCCTGGCCATCCCAGGGCCAGACTCCCTAGATAGAAGTGGCTGATAATAGGCTTTACCACTTGGGATTTCCTGGGATGGCTGTTTCACACATCTTAATACAGACGTAGGGAGTTTTCTCTTTTCAGGAATGTTCTTTGCCTTGCAGCTGTGTTGAAAGCTTTGAGAAGTGCTCCAGCTTCATTTCAGTGTCTGTGTTTGCTTTACAAATTTCTGTACACAGAAATTATACCTTTTATATAGGGTATTGGTTTCTTTGCACGGTCTTTGCTGGATTTAAAGCCATCACGTGCTAGAAGTGGCAAACATTAGAAAGATCTGTGTACACTTTGACTCCAGGAGAAGCAGGATACAAAGGAGAAATTTTGTTTTATTTATTGTTTATGTTAGTAAGCAATTCTTCCTGACTCTGCAGTTAACTTTTGAGCAACAAACCAATGGAAAGCTCCTAAAAAGCTCCATACAAGGATAATGATAGCTTATCATCTAAGGAGATTTTAATAGAAATAATATTGCATCATATTACATTTGAAATTATTCCTTCAGGACAAGACAAAGCTCAGGGAAGTCCCCAGTAAAGATAATTTGATTTCAGGGACTATCTGATTATGTCTTTAAAATTCCTCTTCCATCTGTTTTCTAGTTTATGATGTTTCATTTTTTTACTTTCACAGTCTCCAGTACCAGTTTAAAACTTTAAATTAGTGGAAAAATAATGTATCTGTTTGCCCCTTGGTTCCTTTCCAAATGGGATGACTTCCAGATTGATTCTGGCATCCTGCACAGCCTGAAAAACCCTCGTGTGGTGTAACCAAAGAATTCAATAGCTCGCTATTGTCAAACACAGGGCTCGCAGATGCCAGGGCTTGGTTTACAGCAAACAAAGGGAGAGAGAGAAGCAGATAATATATTGACAGAACTGACACTGAGGCTGTGAGGGGTGGGCAGAAAAGGGAGGGGAGGTCAATATTACACAGGGTATATGGTATGATAGAAATCTAAGTATTTGCAATAGGCTTAGGAAGCGCAGAAACTGCTGTGATAGTAACAGTGGTTTTCTGACTTGATGGAAAATGAACACCACTACTTGTGGTGCACTTGAAAGAAGTGGCGTTTTAAATGCAGTGATGTCTGCAGAGCTCTGTGATTGAGTGTGTCTGATGGTTTGAAATGTTAAGTAATTCCATTGCAGTCAGGGTAAAAATGGTAATGAACAGCTTGCAAGAGTCTGAGTGTACTTACATGAAATGTTGAGCAATTAGCTTCTCTCTCTGCAGATGAATCCTGCAGTTTCCTTCTCATCAGCAGCAAAGTGACCTTTCAAATACACGGAAGACACAGAAGCCAGTTCCAAAAACTTGCTTGATCTCTTGCCTGCTGATAAAGTGCATTGTAAGGATTTGGGATTTACATGGCACTGTAGACTTTGGGCTGAAGATTTTTAAACATTAACAGAAAGCTTTCTAACAGTGGGAATGTAGCCTGTTTAAGAATGGGACGTGTTATCAGCATATTCAATGTGGTAAGGAGAAGGAGGCTAAGCTCCCTGTAGCACCTGATACTATCAGCTTCTTTTCAGTTCCTTTAAAGCTCCTTGAAAAGTTCATTGTTCTGGATTTATATTCTGTACGTGGCAGTCCACATGTTAAAATTAAAATAAACCACATTTGTGTGTTTGGAATTGGCTGACAGTGAAAACCATATGGCTCTTGGTGCTTAAATAGCATCAGCCTGATCTGCACAGCTTATCTTTTTACAATGCATTTGAAACAGGAGGGTTAGGAGGATGGCAATGGGATTTGAGCTGTTAGATTGTCTGGGCTGCCTGTGACATTGGCTTGTGCTCTGCACCCAGGCAAAAGGGAATAGCTGTGCTCTCAGTAAATCCACCTAAGGCATAAACGTGACTATATAATCTGTGGGGAAAAATTGATAGTAAAGTTTTAGTCAGGCTATCCTCATTGTGATATCCACATATTTGATTCATATGTGAGTGCTCCAGGAACATGGAAAAATACAACAACCTGCTGATACAGAATTTAAAAATATCAATAGTATGATGTTTTCCCTGTCTGCTTAGGCATTCATTTTTGCAGCCACTTAAACACTTGCTTGAAGTGGAGCATTTGAATGGTCTCAAGTGACAGGACCCTACATAATTTGTGAGTTTAGTCTGTGGAAAATAAAATTGTATTATTAATACCATTTATTCCCTCTGGCTATCTCAATTAATGATCATGATTGCAAGGTTTGGTACTGATTACAGAAGAAAATGACAAAGTTTTGTGTAGATGGAAAGAGGTTGAGGTTTTGTGGAGGCAACAGATAATTTAATACTCTTCTTTCTTAGAAACAGAAGGATGTTTTGGACCACAAGAAAGTTTTGCTAGTGGTCACTGCTGGCAAGTGTCTGTGCATCACATCTGAAGCTCGCAGCTGAAGTCTTCCCTCACAATGCTAAATGGATGCATGCCCTCCTTCCCTTACCATTCTGGTTGCAAGCTGGTGGTGTCCCATGCAGTCTAAATGTCCTTTGCAGGTTGGAGATCTAGACACCATCTTAACCACAAGAGCCAGGGTGTGCTCATCCTGCACATCACAGCCCAGGGGTGCTGGAACTACCTGTGCACAAGGGAAGAAGTCACTGCGCTGTGCTAGCATGGAAGTACCCCAATGCTGTCACATTCCCCAGTACCATGAAAGAGTGATGGCAAATGCTCAGAGGCTTTGGGGAGCCTGTGAAGGGAGAAGTTTTGAGATTCTTCCTGCTCCAGCTGTAGCCCACTCTTTTCTACCTGATCTGATGGAAGAGGACTGCTAAGACCTGCTGTCATGGTAGATGTGATTAGATTCCTTCCATGTCAGAGCACACCCTGGTGTTCCTCTTCAGACTCTGTTGCCTGTCATACACATTCCATCTTTATGTCCTTTGAGAAATGGGAAGTGCAGGATGGGGCCTAGCAAGGACACCCAGCAGTATTGTGTCAATAGTCAGCCTTAGTTTTGCTTCTAGAATTCAGTGTTTACAGTTTCCCTGCCCAAAGCCACAAAGATGTCCCTGGGAATATACCAGCCTCTGTGAAGTGGCTACCCCTGAACTGCAAGGCTTTCTCATCCTGGAAGACTAAACTTGGCAAGCTGGTTGGCAGCTGCATTCAAGGTGTTCTTTTCCTGAACAGCCACAAGCTGAAAAGGGAGGAGCATGAGAGAGTGAATAACATACAGTAGAATAGACATTTAAAGGAGATAAGCTTGCAGGGGTAGGGTCTGTTTGGAAACATAACATAACATAACATAACATAACATAACATAACATAACATAACCACTCTCTTCATTGAAGATATAAATTTATTTAGAAGAGAAAATGCTCATGATCTCATACACATGGCTTTGAAGAGCATGCCCTGCTGTCTCCTACATCGCGACAAGTGTGGTCTTAATGGGAAGGGGAGCAGGGCTGCAGAACAATGGAATGCATGCCAAACCTACCCTCCATGTTCTTCCTCAAGTATGAGTGTCTTGTGAAAATTTATAATACAAATTATAATTTGTATTTGTATTTATAATACAAATTACAGTGGGTTTAAGTTTCTTCAGTATCAAAGATCCAAAAGCAAAATGTCTTTGTTGGCTGCCTTGAGAAGGAAAATGCTGACTCATAGGAGGAGATAGATTCTGGCTGTATTTTATGAAAATATATAGTTAATGTGTATTTACAAATACATTAAGTTTATGTATACTTTAAATATACAGTTCCATCAGCAGTTTCACTGTATATCAATTAAAGCATTCTGTGAATAATGTGCAAACTGTAATATACCAAATGATAAATACCTGCTTAATTAAAAAATACTTCAGACAAAAAAATACTACAGACAAAACAGAGGAGTTCCAAAATACATATCTTTGATATTTTGTATTCAGTCTTTAGTAATTTGACAGTGAAAAATAATCTTTCAGAATTATATTTGTGGGTTGTTTTTGGTTTTTTTCACTAATATGTGATGGAGTAGGTCTCAGTGTTTGATACCTGGTCATCTCTATATCCTATGGGAAGAGTATGGAAATAGTATGTTTGTACATATTTTTAAGGAGCAGTTAAGAGAACTTGCTCGCAAAGCATTATCATTCAAAGACACATAATAATGCAAGGGAGGAAAAACGTATCTTAGAGAGTCAATTTTGTGTGTCACGGCAAATTCAGAAATTATTTTGGAGAAAATTCTTTCCCCAACAACCAAATGCAGTGAAAGGTCAAGTGTGTCGTGGAAAGGGAGTTGTGGAAGAGCAGGTGGTGGGGGATTGAGCCTGTGCTATCTTGGTCCTTAAACCTTCTGCTGCCGTGTTGGCTTTTGCCAGGGACAGCGTGTAAATCTCTCCAGATAATACACTTAACTCACCAGCCAGCATCATAAAGCAAGGTGCTAAGGTAATTTCTCTGGTTCTCCGGCAGAGGGAATGGACACGTTTTAGGGCCCGGAGTCTGATGTGGAGCGGCTGAGGGAGCTGGGCCTGTTTGTCTGGAGAAGCCTGAGGGGACCTCGCCAGTGCCCATCAGCTTCTGAAGGGAGGGCGTCAACAGGATGGACCAGGCTCTGCTCGGTCGTGCCCAGCAATGGGACAAGAGGCCATGGGCAGAAACTGAGCCCCAGGAAGTTCCATCTGAACACGGGGAAGAACTTCTTTCCCGTGCAGTGACCGGGCACTAGAACAGATTACGCACACATGGTGCGGAGTCTCCCGCACCGCAGGCATACCAGACCCGTCTGGACGCAGTTCTGTGCCGTGTGTCCCGGGCTGTCCCTGCGGGAGCGGGGCGGTGGGAACAGTGCCCCGCAATGCCCCTCAGGGCCCCTCAGGGCCCCGCAGTGCTCCCGTGGCCGCCCCATCCCGCCGGGGTTCCCTGGGCGCCGCAATCCCAGCCCACCGACCCCACCGGGGCGCGGGGCCGGCGGCGGGGAGGCGGCCAATGGTGAGCCGCCGTGNTGCGCTCCCTGCCGCTCTCCAACCTCGCCATCCCGGGTAGGGCGGCGGGACGGGGTGTGTGGGGCCGGGGCTGCCCGGGCGGTGGTGGGGGAGTCGCATCGGCCGCGGCGTGGCGTCCCCCGTAATAAAGTGCTGGGTAGAGGCTGGGGCAGGTGCCGGTGCTGAGAGGAGCCCTGACCATCGCAGCAGAGAGCGGAGAGCTTAATCTCCCGCAAATATCGCCGTGAGACTCTAACCATTGACCTGCTGCTTTCACTGCCTGTAGAAAAGGGAGCTGTGACCGCTGGCGGCCCTCCTGAGCCTTTGCAGGTACTTTGAGTAAGGCTGAAGTCGGGTAGGGAGAAAGGCTCGGTTGCGTTGACCCAACAGCTGGAGGCTTATCAAATGGAAGGTCTGCCATTATCAGATGGGGCTCTGAGCAACCTGCTCATGTGAGAAGTGTTCCTGCTCGTGTCAGGGGGCTTGGTCTTCAGGCTACGTGATCTTCAGGCTTCCTCCTAACCCAGACCATTTTATGGTATGTATTTTATAGCCTGGTTTACAATAAACTTATAAATGACGAAAACAACAGAAGATCTGACATTTACTTAGGCTGATTTTCCATCTGTAAAGGGCAAAAAATGCTCTTCCTTGCAGATGTCCTTAGAGAAGATTTGTGGGGTGGTTACTGTAGTTCCTTCCGATGCTGAATGTTACACTCTGGTACAGGTTTGGTTTTAATTTTAATGCTTTAGCTTGTCACTAGCACTTTGGATAGGTGATCTAGCATACATACAGTCCCAAGCTGTGCTTGGGGAGGTTCTGGATGGGCATTAGGAGGAGTTTCTTCGTAGAAAGGGTGTTTAGACATTGGATGGGGCTGCCCAGGGAGGTTGTGGAGTCCCTGTCCCTGGAGGTCTCTAAGGAAAGACTGAATGTTGTGCTCAGTGCTACAGTCCAGCTGGAAAAGGAGGTGGTAGGGCTTAGGTTGTGCTCTGTGATCTCAGCAGAGTTTTCCAGTCTGATTGGTTCTGAGTCTATGTGGCAGACATTCAGAGATACTTCTGTACAAACAGAGTAACTTTGTGTCAGAGGGAATTTAACCGCTTTTCTACATGCTCAAATGCCCTTGAAGCGTGTTGAGAAAGGATTGTGCACCTCTTACGCACCGACTGTTGTTTACCTGAATCAGAACAGTTAAAATGCCAGATTTCAATCAAAAATGGTGCCCTTTCCTATCCTGACAGTAGCAAAAACATTTTATGTGACCCTGTTCTATTGAACAGGGACGTGAGACAGAAAGGAAATTTAATGTTCATATAAAATTCAAATGCCAGCAGACTTTGAAACTTCTGGCAAAGAAAGGCTTCTCTGTTTTAGTGAACTAAGAAATCAACTTCTTGTAGCCACTTAAAAACTGAAAGCATGCAGAATGTTACAATTTAGATTGCATTGGCTGCAGTGCTGCTGTCACTTTGAAACATCATGCAACCAGTGTTGCAGCAGAGAAACCAAGTAAATGAGTGGTTGTTTCAGTAATGCCATGGTGCTTTTAAAATAGTCAATGCTTTTTATTTTTTTTAAATGCTTGCAGTATATGTTTATTTGTGATCAAGGCTGGTACATCTCCCCACCACTTTCCCATGTATACCTCATGCAACCTGCAAGCAGGCAAAAGATATTTGGGGTAGATTTTTTGCCATTTTTTATTACTATTATTTCAGTCCAGTAATTATTTTGCTGAATTATTTTGCTGGGGTTTTTGGTGTTGTGCTTGACAGAGCAACCTTTTTTGAGAGCTGGGGGGAATGGGTTTTGAGAGCCAGCAGGATGTGTCCTGGCAGTGTGCAATACACATTGCAGTTGAGGAATCTTTGTGGATGCTGAACAGCAATGGAGACCAGTGTTACCTTCAAAAGAGAGATGAAAGGTCAAATGAGAAGTGGTTTTATCTGTGCTTAATCCCTGTGTGTGCATATGACAGGAGTGGCCTGCTTTTGTCCATCTCACGATACATTTGTTTTCTCCCCTGGAATGATGGATTCAACTGGTTTTGATTTGTGGAGTTTATTTTCCCTCTCCCCCACTCCTCGTCATCCTTTGTACATAGGAACAGAGATAGAGCTCCAGAGGTGGAAACCTTAAAACTTTTTTTAACTTGAAATAAATCAGCACTCAAAATCATGAAACTGTTGCTGCTTTATATTTTTTGCATTTTGAAGAATTGTAGCATTTAAAGAATAATATTTTACCTTTTTTTTAAGAAAATAACAAAATTATGGTATTATGGGGCTACTTAAAGTGAAAGAATTGAAAGCATACACACAAAAGAAACTTCTCAAATTTAATTAATTGTGTACTACTGGGAGTGGGAAACTCCCTTGTATATTGCCCAAGATGTCTTCATAGAGTTGTTCTGCTTCGTTTGTTGCAAACCTTTTGCTTTCAGAGCTGCTTGTTTTCACTGGCTTTAGAAAAGGTTGCTGTGACTTCTGGGGGTCCTTTTAAAGCTACATTATTCTCCAATTCCATGAGCTATTAAATAATGGTGTGAAGCATTTTACTTGATGGTAGAGAAGGTCATTCTTTCCTCAGGCCTTAGAACCAACTGACAGCAAGCAAATAATGCTGAAGATGGGTATTCACGAGGTATATGGGGTGTTTACATGATTATTTAACACTGCTCAAAATGAAGAGAGACTTTGAAAAAGTTAAGGCCCTTCTCCAAAGCTTGTGTGTGATCAGTTCCCACATTTGGGCTTTCCTGTTGCTGCTGTTGGGAGAAACTCTAGCCAAAATGCTAAACCAGTATAGTCATATGCAGGGAAAAGAGATGAGGTTTCCTGTGCAGCGTCATGAGCAGAGGGATCTTTTGCAATGAAAAATTGCCAAATGTCAAGTAACTAAAACGTCATCAGCTTTACAAGCATGCAATATAGTCAACAAAAATAGCCACTCTCAACAAGTGGTGGTGACCTTGTGTGAAAGTCTAGAGGGTTTTCTCTTAATTATATTCCAATGATCCTCTTTGTATGTGGGTTTAAAAATGAACCCTTAAACATTTTGATTGTGGACGTGACCCTTGGCATGGTATTGTATAGTGCTTGTTTAATTTCAAGCTGGTTTACATTAAAGAATTTTACAAAATCACAATGTGACACATCACTTTCCTTGGTCATCTGTTGATCTGCATCTGCTACTTTTTTATTTCTCCATGTAGAAATAGAACACAGAAATCTGGGATGCTCTCACTGATAAGCTTTCAAAGTGAATCAGCTGTTTAAAGAATTAGCTGCAGAGCCTAGTTGTTCCATGCTTGTACTTGCATCCTAATAGTTGACAGCACCATGGTATGTGCAGTTAGTACTGTTCCATTTGAAATGCTGCAGAAAGTTTTAGGAAGGCAAGTATCTTGTTTACCTTGGTGCTAGAGTCTGAAGTCTCTGCATCTGAAGGTATGGCACCGTTTTCCTGTTTCATCAAACTTTTACATGACTGCTTGTATTAGAACAGGTGAAACACTTATTTTCAGTCTCCACTGTGTGAGGTCATAAGCTCATGCCTTTTGGTTTGAGACAGTAAGGTAGTCTAGCAGATGTTCACTGCCAACTATCAGTGTTTGTTTATTGTGTGTTTCATTAGTCCAGCCTCCAAGGTGCTGGATGGATGTCATGAGGAGAAGAGCAGGCAGTTGTTTTCCTTTGGATCTTAGTAAACATACATTTACTTAATCCTGTCTGGACTATTCCAGCTTTAAATATGTAAGAGCCGTGATGTAGCAGGTATACTTGGAGTTTTGGATCAATCTGTATGCCTTGACTGGTTCCCAGGTCTGGTCAGGATAGCTAGCTGTGAGCTTTTCCATGCTGCTGATTTTCTTTCCTTGTCTTCTGGAGAGAACATATGATGGCTTAGGTAGGGATCCACTTCTGCTTGCAGGAGAACCCCAGAGGAGTTACAGGTGTCCTTTCATCAATAACATAAGGTAATCAAAAGTGTCTTCTGTCCCCTGCCTTTTTTTCTCTCCCCCTCCAAATACAAATGAGTGTGTTCCCCAAGCTAACCTGGTGGGAAGATTTTTGTGGTGATAATGGTTTAGAGGGATATTTATTTTTTTTTTAGAAGTGGTTCTTGTCAGAAAAGCTGCTTGCAACAGCTGCACAGCAGAGTTGGGCAAGGCCCAGGGTGGGTGCTGGACTGTGTGGATGTTCCAAGGGAACACAAAGGGTAACCTGGTGTGTCATGGTGCTGCAGATGTGGACAGGAAAGAACAACAGGTAGAATGATTGTATGTAGAATAAATGGGTGATTGTTTTCTTTCACATAGTTTGGCTGAAACAAAGGCTATTAATAAAACCTAACCTCAGTTGGGGAACAATTAATTTGAATCTGAACTAAGTTGTTTGATAGAAGTCACTGAAGAAGAGAGCTAAAGATGGAAAATCTGGGAAATTTAAAAATTATTTACTTAAGCACTTTGAAATGTGATACTAAAAAAAAACCTACACCAATGGTTTTCTCCTAGAGTGTAAGATTTCTTTTATAAATTTTGAAGTAAAGATGTTTTTATTGTATTGTGTTGGTATATCTAAGGCTGATTTGAAACAGTAAGGAACCTTTTGCCAGCAGAAGTCAGTTTTTCAGCCACTGGTACTCCTAGAGCCAAATGTTACACTCAGCAGAGTGCTCTGCTGCTGTGGAACATGCAGGCAGGGCAGGCTGCCTTTCCAGGTGGAGCCATACCTGTCAGCATCAGGTTGGACAGCTGCTGAGGGGTTTCCTGTGGGATGATGGGTTGTAGGTAGCCAGAGCTGACAGAAAAAAATGGGGTTCACAGTTCCAGAAACATTTTTTTTAACAGAGAAAATCATATTGACCTGAATATAGCCAGAACAAGACCATATTGGA